TTTTTTTTTTTTTTTTTTTTAAGTTTCCTGGTTAAAAGTGGTACATACCAGAATGGAAGAGGGTGGAAAGTATTTTAGGACAATAATCTTCTGTCATTAGATTTAATACAAAAAAAAAAAAAAAGCTATTAAAACCTGAATCAGACATGATTCTTAGGGAAAAGCACCCCTTCTAGTTCCAAGTCACTGGCTCTGTGACTACAGTAAGCATGCAAATGGTGTGAGAATGGAAAAGGGGCATCTCTGCTTCCTATGAGGCTGTGGCAATGCTCATTCACAACAGATGTTACTGGAGTAAAATATCAAGTGGCCCAGGCTCCTACCTTCCCTAAAGATGGCTGTCCAGGTCACCTAGAAAAGAGGGCAGACACGTTCCACATACCACATACTGAACTCTCTGGGTCTGTGTGTCCTCAGTTCCTTCCAAAGAACCTGCACTTGGTCTGTGTGGACATGCCAGGACATGAAGGGACCACCCGCTCCTCCCTGGATGACTTGTCCATAGACGGGCAAGTTAAGAGAATACACCAGGTAAGCAGGAGGTGCTACCAAAACTACTCAGAGTAGGTCCTACCCACCATTGCGTGCCCATCTGGAGAGCAAGCAAGAGCGTTCCATGCTGACTCATTGACAGTCCCCAGTACAATCTGTCTGCAAGTAATTTTAAACAAAATAGCAAGCAGATAGTAGCCCTGGTCAGCTATGGAGGGCCAAGGCTTATTGCAGACTGTCCTCCTATAAGCTGTTTCTGAAGAAACAGTCTGGGCATTTTCTCAGCTCTTTGAAAAAGGAGTTTGACATTTCTCAAGACGATTTCCTTCTCTGTGGGTCAGTTTCTCTGCTTATTAGCTTCATGATGACAGCAACACCCTCTCTGCCTAGTTCGGAGGATAAGGAGGGTGCTCTCTGTGTTTTGTCCTTTTTCAGCATCTGTCTGCAGCCCCTCTAGCTGGGCATTCCAGGTCTCATGGGCTCATGAGCCATTTCAGAATTTATTGGCCTGTGAGTTTCAGATTGACATTATTTTTCCCCCAGAGAAGGTTGTTTATTTAATTTCTGCCTCTGCCTTAAATTGTGTATTCTGATAAGATCAGCAACTCTATTTTTCCTTGTTTTTTTGCTGTATTCTTAGCCTGTGATCATACTTCCTGATGCATAATAGATATCTGATAAATATTTGTTGGATGGCTTACTGGATGGGTTGAGGAAAGGAAAGGGCTTTAAATTAGGGCAGAAGCAGCAAACTACGGCCTCTGGCCAAATTTGGTCTGTCACCTGTTTTTGTAAACTAGCTTCTATTGGAACAAAGCCATGTTCATTCATTTATGTATTTATTATCTTTGACTGCTTTTGTGCCACAACAGCAGAGTCAAATCCTGTAGTTGAAAGAGAGATTATATGGTGTACAAGTAGAAAATATTTAGTCTTTGGACCTTTATTTTAAAAAGTTTGCTTACTCCTAAATTAGGAAAGTCCTTGTTTACTTATAACTGACTCCTCAATAACTTGAGTCAGATAAAGAGAAATACTTACCTTTAAATGAATCCAGCAGAATTTCTGACCCCATTTAATTAATAGTCCTTTTTAATTGTCCCCAAAGTACAAGAGTTTTCTACTCTGTAATTGTCATTGTCTATAACTGTATAACCAAGCCTCCCTCTCATTTCCCTTCCTAGTTTGTAGAATGCCTCAAGTTGAACAAAAAACCCTTCCATCTGGTAGGCACCTCCATGGGCGGTCATGTGGCTGGGGTATATGCTGCTTACTACCCATCAGATGTCTGCAGCCTATCCCTTGTGTGCCCTGCTGGTAAGTTACAAGGCCAAACATCCTTGTGAGGGCTTGAGCACAACAGGGTCTGGAACTTTGAAGAAACAAGTGGCCAGTGCCTGCTATGACTCTTCAGCATCATCTTTTTAATGAGGCTTGAGGGATATGCAATGTCTTAGTGATAACTCTCACCAAACAATAGCTATAGAACAATAATTGTACCATATCGACTTTTAAAATTTTTAGCCAGCTTTGTTCCACAAGGAACTTGAGGTGATTAATTAAAATACAGATAGTATTTTATGGCACATTAACACTTTGCAATATAATTATGATACTAACATCCAACATTGATTGAGGTCTTAGGAGCTAAGTTCTTTACGTGAATTTAATTCTCACAATAACTCTATAAAGTAAAGGTATATTATTTGCCCCCTTCTTTTTTGCTGAAAACTAAGAGAGCTTAAAAAAAAAATCAATGAACTTTATTTTCTCTGTTCTTCTGTCTATACATGCCAACCTGAGCTGTAATATAACTCTAGAAATTACCATCTGAAAGCAGATTTTGTTTTTAAATTAATTTTTCTTGCATAAATCTTCAAACTTGGATTTACAATATGACAGAGAGGAAAATACTAATTTTTTCCCACTCTCTCTCCTGTTTCTCCTCCTCCCTTTTTCTTTAGTGCTTTATTGGAGTATAATTTACTTGTAAGTTGCCCAAATTGTACATCTCAATGACTTTTTACATATGTAATTACCACCAAGATCAAGCTAGCATGCTCATTTTATAGGTGGGAACCTTGAGGCATTAAGAGATTACATTAGTGCTGGAGCCAGGATAGGGACTGATCCCAGGCTATCTAACCCCAAAACCCAAGCTACAGGTTTTTTTGAAGTTGTTTCAGGTTTACTACCTCCTTTATATAACTCATATCCACTGGCTTCTCTAGAACCCACCCATAAGTTGAACATTTATGCTTTTTATTGAGACTTAACTAAATTGACCTTTAAGATCCTTCTGCCACTCTGAAAGTTAATAGTTTTCAGTTAATATCTGTTAAGGACATTGAAATTGAAGGTAAGCCCCTAGAGGGGTTTTGCCTTTTCTGATTATCATGTCTGAAATAATTTGTTCTTTTAATAATAGAGCTTAAGAATTGAAAGAACAACCCCTATGGAAGATTATTAGATTTAAAATCACTTACAGAAGGACAGCCCTAACTAGCCTTTTCAAGTGTGTGTTCATTTGCTCAGAGAAGAATTTTACACCTGCATTTCAACTGGAAATTTAAATTAAGTTTGTATGTGAAAATGAAAAAGTAGACACAAATTCAGGATAATATTCTGCCTAGATTTTGTTTTAAATAAACTTATTTTGAAATAATTAAAAATTTACAGAAAAGTTACAAAGCTAGTACAGAGTCCAGTATACCCTTCACCTAGTTTTCCGCATTGTTAACGTCTCACAGTATTTTGGTACATTTGTCACAACTAAGAAACCAGGATTGGTTTCTCCTGCTACCCAAAAGTAGAGTGCTCCTGTGAAACTTTCATAAGCCAAAGTGGTGTAAAGTGAAAAAAACAATTAACATTAATTCATATGGGAAATTCTTTTGACCATTCCCACAGCCAAAAAATAACCTGCTAAATCATACCAAATAACACATAAAACCTGAAATAACACCAACACATACGGTTCACAGAGAGTTCAAAGCCATGGTGGCTTGATGCTGAGATGCTGGTATAGTTCCTGGGGAAGGAGCTTGGTGGCGCCACTCTTGCTTCTCAGGGTTTGTGCTGCCTCTTCAACAGCTAGGAGCTCTGGTAGCATAGTGCCTAAGGCACTTGGCTGCTAACCAGAAGGCTGGCGGTTCAAACCCACCAGCCACTCCTCGGAAGGAAGGTTGGGCAATCTACTTCCGTAGTGATACCGCCTTGGAAACCCAAGGAGAGGTCACTATGAGTCGGATCCAACTCTACGGCATGTAACAACAATAACTTCAACAGCTTGTTGCCAAATAGCTGAACACCAGTTTTGCTTTTCACCTTTCTTTATAAAAGCAAAAATCCTCTTCAGAGTTCTTACAATCAGTGAAAACAGATGCTAATGTAGGTCTTCTGTGACATTGAAAGGTGAACTTCTGAAAAGTGAGGGATACCCACACTGGTACATCACTATTAACCAAACTCCAGGCCACTTCTCAGAAGGAAGGTTGGGCAATATACTTCCGTAGTGATACTGCCTTGGAAACCCAATGGCAGTGACTTTGGTTTGGTAGGCTTTGTTTAGGATCTCTGGTGGTGTAGTGAAAAAGGCATTTAGCTGCTAACCAGAAAGTCAGCAATTCAAATCCACCAGATGGTCTGTGGAACAAAGATAGATCAATCTACTTCTGTAAAGATCTACAGCTTTGGAGACCCAGCAGGGATCACTGTGAGTCAGAATTGACTTGATGGCTTTGAGTTTGGTTTTTCTGGTTTGAGGCTTTGTTTGGATTTCATGTGTTTTTCCACTAATATCCTTTTTCTGTCCCAGGATCCAGTCCAGGATATCACATTACACTTAGCCTGGGGTTATTTTCAAAGCACAAGGAGATAGATCATATAGTTTCTGCCATGGCATTGGGAAAGCCACAAACAATACCCCACATTAGATTAAAATGGTTTACTGGATATGGGAGATTTATAAAGTGTGGATTTCTGCAGCATAGCCAATAGTATTGACACCACTGCCTTTCTAAAATCTAACTTTTGGGCTAAGTTTAACACCTAGAAACTTGTTCAAGCATGAAAGTGAGGATAGTTTTGCAGTCCTGTGCAAACTCCTGGGCTTGAAGTAGACCATCTTGTGGCATGCTCCAGGGTGGTAGGAAATAATGGTCAGTCTCAAAGAGATTCACTGTCAGCAGTTGCCTGGTGCTTTTCTAGAGGAAAGGTGACTGTGCAGAGGGCAGTGGTGCTGCTGCCCTGATGCAGGTGCAGCTCAGGAGAGGACTCACATGCCCCCTATGCGTTGTGGCTTGACCCCAAAGGATTACAGGAAAGGGGTCCAGACCACGGGAAGGAGTAGTAAATTGCTCTAGTAATTTTTTTTTTTGTTTGTTTGCCTTTTCTCTCATGTATTTTATCTATTCTCTCAAAGACACAGACATGAAATGGACTCAAGCAAGTTCTCTTCTAGACTTGTGTGCTGTGGAGTCAATTTTGCCTCATAGCGACGCCACATGACAGAGTAGAACTGTCCCATAGAGTTTTCTAGGCTGTAATCTTTACAGGAGCAGATGCGCCAGGTGCTTTCTCTCGTGGAGCCACTGGTGGAGTTCAAACCACCAACCTTTTGGTTAGCAGCTGAGTGCTTAACCGCTGTACCACGAGGGCTCCTAGTCCTCTGGATTAGTGCTTCTTGAACTCTAACTTACATAGGAATCCTCTGGCAACTTGTTAAAATGCAGATTCTGATCCTAGAGATTTAGGGAGGAACTGATACTCAGCATTTCTCGTGAGCTGCCTTGCGATGCCAGTGCTGCTGGTCCTCACACCACAATTTGGTAACTAGGCTTTGAAACATCTTTAAGGATTTTTTTTTCCCTATGTTTCTCAGAGTTTGAATTTCATATTGAGTTAAGGGCAGAGTATTGATTTTTAAAATATGGTTAAGAAAAAAAAAAACTCTACTGGTGAAAGAAGCCTGAAACGTATTAGGTCTGGGCAGATCTTGGAAGTTCCCTACACAAATGGGAATATCTATAAATGGCAGATGTATTGCCAAACTGTTTTGGTTTGAATCCCACAGGCCTGCAGTACTCAACTGATAATCAGTTTGTACAACGGCTGAAAGAGCTACAGGACTCAGCTGCAGTAGAGAAGATTCCTTTAATCCCGTCCACCCCAGAAGAGATGAGTGAAATGCTCCAGCTCTGCTCTTATGTCCGCTTCAAGGTGCCCCAGCAGGTAACATAATCATGGCAGCAATCTACCTGCCCTCAGCCACAAGCCAGGCAGCCTGGCTCAGGTGACAAAGACCAGCTTTCTTTCTTCATGCTTTCCATCATTGGCTCCTTCATGTACTCATTCATTCATTTGCTCATTGAGTATCAATACAGTGCCTCTGCTGTGTCATGCACTATGTGGGCACAGGGGTGAATAAATGAGACAGAAGGTCCCTGGAAAGACAGTTCACACCATTTAGTGGGGGAAACAGACAATTAACTAATAGACAAATCATGCCAAAGTGTTAATAAATTTTATCAAGGAAAGGAAAAGTGATTAAAAATGGTGACATGAGAATCTTTGACAAGTCTCTTTGAAGGAACAGTATGTGCAGAGGTGGGAAAAACATAGGCAAGCTCAAGATGTTAGAAGGAAGCCAAAGTTGCTGGAGCTGAGAAGGCAAGGGAATGAGTGAGTAAGAAAAGGAGGCAGGGGCTAGATTAGAGATTCTCATTTTTTTTTTAAATCTCAGAATTTTTTTTTTTTTACATTGTTAAAAAGTATTGAGGATCCCAAAAAACTTTTGTTTATATCAATAGATGTTGTTGTTGTTATGTGCTGTCGAGTCAGACCCAATTCATAGCGACCCCTCCTTGGGTTTGTGAGGCAGTGTCACTACGGAACTAGATTGCCTCATCTTCCTTCCGAGGAGTGGCTGGTGGGTTTGAACCACCAGCCTTCTGGTTAGCAGTCAAATGCCTTAGCCACTATGCTACCAGAGCTCAATAGATGTAGTTGATATTTAAGGAGCTCTGGTGGCACAGTGCCTATGGCATTTTACTGCTAACCACAAGGTTGGCGGTTCATACCCACCAGCCACTCCATGGAAGGAAGATGGGACAATCTACTTCCGTAAAAATTTACCACCTCAGAAGCCCAGTAGGAGTTATTTGCATCATCAAATTAATGACACTGGCACAGAAGAGCAGACCCTATAGTTATTTTGTTTGTTTGTTTTTAAATTTTTAATTGTGATTTGGGTGAAAGCATACAGAGCAAATTCCCTTTCTGCACAGCAGCTCGTATACACTTTGTCTCATGACACTGACTACAATTTCCCACAATGCAACAGCTCCCCTCCCACTTCCTCCCCATAGTTACCTCTTCCTGGGTCCTTCCCTCCCATGCACTCTTGCCCCCCTAAGCTGTCTTCCTGTGCATACACAGCCCTTCTATTCTCCCATGATTGATCTCTCCAAGGAGTATATCTACCTAATAGAAATGTTTACCTCATATGCCTGTCTTTTGTTTGGCTGGAAGCCACAGGAGTGGGTTCAATTCCAGACCTGAAGGGCAGCTAGAGGCCATAGTCTCAGGGGTTCCACCAAGAACCTATTTTTTTTTTTTTTTTTACTATTATCCCACTTCTCATTCCCATGTTTTATTAACCACTCCTGTTTCCTTGCTCTTTTTTTATAATGTACACCTTAGCCTCTTAGCTTTTTGAATAAACGATATTTCTACATTTAAAAAAAAAAAAAAAGAAACCCAGTAGGGGTCACTATTCATTGGTATCGATTCGATAGCAGTGAATTTTTTTTTTTTTTAATGCTTTTTTTTTTTATTTGGGTGAAAATTTACAGAGCAAATTCACTTTCCATACAGCAGTTCACATAAACTTTGTGTCATGACATTGACTAAAATTTACCACAATGCAACAGCTTCCCTCCTGCTTCCTCCCGATAGTTACCTCTTCCCTGTGTCCATCCCTCCATGCACTCCTGCCTCTTGAGCTGTTGCCCTGTGCATAAGCAGCCCTTCTTTCTCCCATGATTCTTCTCTCCAAGGGTGTATCTACCTCAGGTAAATGTTCAACTCATATGCCTGTCTTTTGTTTGGCTGGAAGCCACAGGCATGGGTTCAATTCCAGACCTGAAGGGCAGTTAGGGGCCATAGTCTCAGTGGTTCCACCAGGCTCTTTATCAGACCAGCAAACCTGGCCCCCCCTTTTTTTTTCTCCAAATGATTTTGAGTTTTGTTCCACATTATTCTCCCTCTCTGAGTTTGATTTTTGAGGTTAGTTGATATTTACCATATTAGACATGAAAACTGAGAAAAATTAAAAACAAGAGAATTTACACAATGACTCATTCTATTAGTTGTCAGAGTGATGCTTTATCCCATATCATATAAGCTTGGGGCAATGGTGTACTTGAGAAAGAATGAAAGTAAAACTGGCAAGAAACAGTATTATGAAAACAGTTTTGACCTCATGGACACCCTGGTAGTTTCACAAGAAGAAAGAATCACTTTGAGAAGCACTGACCTAGATCATATAAGGCCTTCTAGGTTATAGGAATGTGTCTGGGTTTTTTCTAAGTACAATAAGAGAACCACTGAAGGGCTTAGGGAGCCAAAATAGAAGCAGAGATACTCACTAAGATTCTGTAGTAACTTGGACGTGATGGTGGCTTAGATTAGGGTGGTGGCAATGGAAAGAAAAGAAAGAGACAGATCTGAGATACTTTGGGAAGAAGAATGAACAGGACTTACAGGCAAATTGGAGATGAGGGAATGTGAAGAGTGTCAGGTGATTTCTGGTACTTTAATAACTGGGGAGATGAAGACTAAGTGGAAGGCAATAGAAAGCCAGTTTGGGGGACAAGCTAACACCTCCATTTTGGGTGTGTTAAAAATATCTGTTAGGCCTCCAAGTGGAGTTGTCAAGTAGATAGTTGTATATACAAGTGAAGCTGAGAGAAATCTGGCCTGGAGGTATACATTTAGAGCCATCAGCAGGTGGATGATATTGAAAGTCATTGGTCTGAATGAGGTCATCTAGGGAAAATGAGAGCCAAGAGAAGAGAATCTATGGCTGAGACCTCATTACACCAAATTCTCTCTATTGTAAGAATAAAGAGCTATCCCTGGTGGTATAATGGTTAAGCACTCAGCTTCTAATTGAAGGTAGTTCAATCCCACTAGCCACTCTATGTGAACAAAGACTTGATAATCTCTTCCCATAAAGAGTTTAGCCTCAGAAACTCAATGGGGTAGTTCTATTCTGTCCTATAGGACCACTGTGAGTCAGAACTGACTCAGTGGCATGCAACAACAACATTGTAGGTATAAAGAGTCCCAGGGAAGTGCAAATAGTTGAGAACTTGGCTAATGCAACACAACACACTGCCGCAGAGTTGGATCCAACTCATAGCGACACCTCCTTGGGTTTCCAAAGTGGTATCACTATGGAAGTAGATTGCCCAACCTTCCTTCTGAGGAGTGGCTGGTAGGTTTCAACTGCCAGTCTTCTGGTTGGCAGTCTAATGCCTTAGGCACTACACTACCAGAGCTCCTAAGGACTTGGCTACTAACCTAAAAATTGTCATTTTGAATCAACCCACAGATGCCTTAAGAAAGGCCTAGTGATCTGCTTCCAAAAGATGACAGCCATAACGACTGTGGAGCACAGTTCTACTCTGACACACATGGGTCACCATGAATCAGAATTGACTCAGTGGCAGCTATTTTTGTTATTGTTGTTTTAATTGTAGGTATTGAGCTCTGCCTCAAGATGTGTGTGTGTGGGGGGTCCTCCTAGTAGTTGAGAGAATGGGTTCTATTCCAAAGCTAGGAACACAACCCAGTTCATGGGTGTGACCTGTCTCTGAAGAAGCCCATGGGAGGAAGCACCCAGAATCTGATTCTCTGGTGTCAGATGAAGAAACAAATTCAGGCTTTGATAGGGAGAAGCTTTATCCAGAAAGAAAAGGGACTATTGTAGCAGTGGGAGAGGGGGGTGACAACAGGGAGAACACCCTGACCATAAGATCTCAAAGAGTTAGAGAAAAGGCATTTTCTTTATAAGAGACAGAGCAAACACAACTAGAAGAAACACAGGTGTGGGGGAGTAGCATGAAAGGCTGATGTCATTACATAGTAAATAAGAAGGTACAGTAAAACATGTGAAAGCTGGAACCTGTGCAAGGGAGCAACCTGTCAGAGAAGGAAAATTCAAATATTTTCCACTAAAAGGAAAGAGAGAGATGTGGCAAGGCTGCATCCTGTCAAAGGAGGAAAACTTTTGAGAACTGGAAAAACAAGGCAGTCCCATTGAGTTCCAGCTCTCACAACTTTCACTGTATGTGCTGAAGTCAACCTATTCTATGGAAGGGACCATTAGGTAGTATTTTGGCTCAGGCTGAAGGTGAGCAAAAGTGCAGGGACTTGGGTGAAGGAAAGAAGGTTAACCAAAGTTTGGTGAACAAACTTTGCTTCTAACTGATTGGTGGGGACAAACAAAATTCAGTTACTCATTTATAAGGCAAAGAATGGGAATTTGGATGTTCTGTGTCTGGCCTTGTCAAGAGTAATTAAAGGATTGTGTGTTAGTCTTATTAGCTACATCATATGGGAAGAGAGGTTATTTGAAGGAGTTCTTTAACCATCACTGTTTTCCAGTATCACAGAGCTGAGGTAAAATTCAACATCAATAGTGGTATTATTTTTCCCTGAAACCTATCCCTCCCTTTTTAGTGATAAAGTTGCAAATTGCCTCCTAGCTATGGCCCTTCCCCAAATTCAGAAACCAAACTAATGTTTGGAGTTGGCAGGGGTGCATGGAACGACTGAGAGAAAATAAATGGCAGCTCAGAAACCTTTCCCTCCTAAGAGAGAAGATGGCTTTGAACACTTAGCCCATAGTTGTGTTGTGGTTATCTACTTGTCTGTCTTCCACTCTAAACTCTGTAAGATCAGGGACTTTGTCTTAATTCACTGTTCTATCCCCAGTCTGTAGCACAGTGTTTGCATGAAATAGGTCCTATGTATAGATTGGATGGATATATATAGCTATATAATGGATGGATGGATGGATGGATGGGTGGGTGAGAGGATGCCTGGTTAATGTAGGAATGGAAAATGGATGGATGAGTACATGAAAGATAGATGGATGCATTTATTGATACATGTGCACGCTTTTATGATCCAGGAACATGGCATGGATGGTTGGTTGTGTAGATGGGTAAATGCTTAGATAATGTAGAGATGAGAATGGATGGATCGATGAGTGAATACCTAGATAATGCATAGATGATTCAGGAAAGCAAGATGGATGGATGGATGAGTGAATACCTAGATAATGCAAGGATGATGGTAGATGAGTGAATGAATGGAAAGATGGTGCTAATGGGGCACTGAGGTGGCATATTCTGACCTCCTCTAAATTCACAAGAGGAATACAGAATTACCATCAGCAGCCCAAGGCCTGTTCCTATGACGCCACACATGCCGCCACCCACTAGCCCTCTTACCAACCTTGACACCAATCATCCCTCCCACAGCATCCACCCCCTCTCTTTTGGGTTTGAAAATTCGCTGCAGTGGCCACACAGAACTCACAGATTATGGGGTTTATTGGAGAAGCAACAGGCTACAATTCAAATTCAGGAACATGCTCAGGATACATTCTTCAATCAGGACAGTCTCCCCTCTGCTGTGCCCTTACACATACCTCTCTGCCCTTGGCTTCTTGGCCTGGCGTCTGCCTCTGTGGCAAGGTGAACCTGCTGCTCTAACTTATGCCTCTTGGTTCCACTCCCACCATCTCTCAGCCAGGCATCTCTCTCAGCCAGGCATCTCTCTCAGCCACGCATCTCTCTCAGCCATGCATCTCTCTCAGCCAGCAGTCAGATTCCTTCTGCATCTAGAAGGGCTCATTTTGACCTTGGCAGAGTGGTAAAACCAACTAATCCCAACATCAGAGTTCTACACACCTGAGAGGGAAAGCAAACTTTCCCAGAAGATTACTTCATGCTGCACCAATAAAAATACCTCAGGTGGATGACTTTAACAATCAGGAGTTTAAATTGCATGGTTCCACTCAGTAATCTGATAAGAGTTACAAAGACTGTGGCTAGAAAAGTCATACCATGTAATTTACTATACCACAGATGGGTAGATGCAGGGCATACATAGATGATTCAGGGGTGTAGAATGGATAGATGGAGGGATAGATGAGTGGATAGATGGATGGATAGATTGATAGATGAATGGGTGGGTGGATAAACAAAGAAAATGTCTGATGCTGAGCAGAGTTGGGTTCAACATCTCTAGGCTTCTACTTCCACACTAGTCAGATTCTAATCATGCTTCATGAAGTTGATGTAGCCCAAACTGCCATGGATGGGCCAGGCCCACTCCCAGGTAGATGAGAAGACATTATTGCTTCTTTGAACCCTGTAATCTACCTCAGAAATCCTGAGGAAGGAAGAGGTAGAGGAGAATCAGTAGCCCCACATTCAAGAGATCTGGCCTGTCCTTGTTTGATACAGCCTTAATCAGCCTCAAAGAGGGAGGCAGAGATGATGTCAGATCATAAAGGACTACAGAACCCTTTTTGGAATGTTCTCTTCATTTGTTAAGATGCCCTTCATCTCCAATGGTTTAATTTGTATTTTTAATAGACTTTGTTCTGTATTTGGATAGTCTTGATTAATGATTTTTAAAATTATTTTCATCCAACTTGTGTCTTCAGTTAAGCAGAGAATTTCTCAACATGAAAGTGCTGTTAGGCTATCTCAGGTTTCTACATGTTGTAGGGAGACCTTTGGCTTCATATTATTACCCAAATTCCTTCCCATTTTAAAAAAAGAAAAGAAAAAAAGGCATCTTAGGAACCTAACTTTCAATTGCATTGTATAATTATAAATAAATAAATAAATAAATGCCACTGAGTTGATTCTGATTCATGGTGACCTCGTGTGTCAGAATAGAACTCTACTCATACAGTCTAATGGCTGATTTTTCAGAAGTAGATCAGCAGGCCTTTCTTCTGAGATGCCTCTGGGTGGGGTGGAAGCTCTAACATTGTGCTAACCAGTTACATTAACTGTTTGTACCACCTGGGCCTCCATATTGTATAATAAACCATAGGAATTAAAGGATCAGACCTTCAAAGCCTTGGCAGTATAATCATTTGTCAGACTTTATTTCCCATCCTTGTCCCAGAGGTGTGTGAGGCCTGGTGAAATGAGTCCTCTCTTGCTTTCTAACTTTGGGTTATCTGTCTTTAGATCCTGCAGGGCCTTGTTGATGTCCGCATCCCTCATAACGACTTCTACCGAAAGTGTAAGTGGCCCCACTTTTAAGTTTTGAGTTGGTTAAGAATGTTGCTTTGTGGTTGGCTGGCTTTTATTTCTTAAATTTCTGAAACTCAGAATGTTTTCCTGGCTACCTGGATAGGAAAATTGTGGCCTGGATTTGGGGATTATCCCTATGCCCAAAAGCACAGTCCAGTGTGCACTGACTTGGTTTTCCTTTTCTGAAAAGTGTTTTTGGAAATCGTCAGTGAGAGGTCGAGACACTCCCTCCATCAGAACATGGACAAGATCAAGGTCCCGACGCAGATCATCTGGGGAAAACAAGACCAGGTACGTGACATGTTCCCCTGGCTGTCTGCGCCAGTGATACAGGCCTGTGAGGAAAAAAGTCCTTGAGGAAAATCAAGTGTTCATCTATAAACTGAAACTTGCTGACTCATTTCTTGTATCACAAAGAGGTAGGATAAACCAGTGTCAGGTATACCTGAGTTTACAGGGAGTGAAATTCTGTGGGCTGACAGGAATAAGATCTATCTTTGAAGAAGAAAGGCCGTTTTAACTTCTTTTTGAAAATTAATTTTATCAATGGTGTATAGTCACATGAGAAAAAAAAATCAAAGAATACAAAAGAGTTCATAATGAAAAACTTGGTTTCTTTTACATCCCAATTCCCTGTTCCTCAAGCTACCTCTTTACCGCCTACCTGTGTCTATTTCTTACATTTCTAAGCCAGGGATTGGCACACTTTTTTCTGTAAAAGGCCAGATGAAAAATATTTTTGTTTTTGTGAGTCATATGGTCTCTGTTGCAACTACTCAACTCTGCTGCATGAAAAGCAGCGAGAGACAAGACAGACGCAAATGGGCATGGCTGTGTTCCAATGAGCCTTTCCTTACAAAACAGGCAGTGACCCTGTTTGCTGACCCTGTTCTTAGCACACACATATATGCATAGATTATATAAGTGTTTCAGATGTACTGTATATCCTATTTTGCACCTTACTTTATTTACTTAAATATATTTCTTAAAAATCATTTTATACAAGCCCTTAAGGATCTACTCATTCTGTTTTTTTTAAAATGTGTTATTCTGAAATACTTTCAAACCTAAAGAAAAATTTTAAGAATAGTCCAGAATACTCCTGTGTGTTCTTTACTAATCTCATAATTTATTTAACAGCTTAGTTGAGGTATCATTTACATACCATAAAATTCTCCCAGTCTGACATCGTTGGCACAGCCCAATTGTAAAGCTTCCCTCCTGCCCACTTACAGCCAGAAAGTTCCCTCCTGCCCACTTGCAGCCAATCTCCACTCCCACCCTAGCCCCATGCAACTAACTACTTATCTATTTTTTGTTTCTATAGTTTTGCCTTTTTTAGAAATTTCATATAAATGTGATTATACAATGCATATTCTTTTGTATTTGGCTTTTTTTTTTTTTTTTTTTCGCTCAGCAACATGTTTTTGAGGTTCATTTATGTTGTTGCGTGTATCAATAGATTGTTCCTTTTTATTGCTGAATGTTAGTTCATGATATGGATGTACCCCATTTTTACTTATTACCAGTTTTTAACGTTTTGGCACATTGGCTTTATCATTCTTGTCTATCTGGAAAAAAGTACTTTTGGATCATTTGGAGTAGGCTGTTGCAAAAGGGGCAAGGAAGCGGCATCTTCTGACCTCCTCTAACTCCACAAGAGGAAGCAGACTCACCATCAGCAGCCCAAGACTTGTTCTTATGAAGCCAGACATGCCACCACCCTCCAGCCCTCTTACTAACCTTGACACCAACCATTCCTCCCACGCCACCCACCACTTCTCTTCTAGGTTTGATAATTCATTGCAGTGGCCACACAGATTATGGGTTTATTAGGGAATCAACAGGCTACCATTCAAGTTCTGGAACGTGCTCAGTCTCTCTCAGCTGGCTGTCTCACTCAGCAGTCAGCAGTCTGTTTCAGCAGCACATCTCTCTCAGCTGGCAGTCAAAGAGACTCCTTCTGCCTCTAGGAGGGCTCATTTTAAGCCTGGCAGAGTAGCAAAACCAACCAATCCCAAGATCAAAATTCTACACACCTGAGAGAGCACGAACTTCCCGGAAGATTACTTCAGGTGGATGACTTTAACAATCAGCTACTCAGTTGATAATGGTAAAGTGGGAGTTACAAATGCTATGGCTAGAAAAGCCCTACCATGTAATTTACTCCACCACAGCTGCTTATATCATACCCTTTTACCCCTAAAATTTCAGGTGTATTCACTATGAACAAGAATATTCTATCACATACCCATGATGCATTATCACATTCAGGAAATTTAACACCGATGCCAATGCTTTAATATCTACAGCTCATATTCCAATTTCATCATTTATTTCAATAACATTCTACATTGCATCCTCTTCCCCTCTTCTTCCTACCCTGATCCAGAATCCAATCCAGGAGCACATAATAGATGTCTGTTTATTTTTTTGTTATTGTTAGTTTCCATCAAGTTGATTCCAACTCATGGCAACCCCATGAGTGCAGAGTAGTACTGCTATGTAGGGTTTTCAAGGCCGTGACCTTTCAAAAGCAGACCACCTGGATTGTCTTCCGAGGCCCCTCTGTGTGGGTTCAAGCTGCTAGCCTTGTGGCTGATAGTCCAGTGCTGAACCATGTGCACCACCCAGGGACGCCTCATACCTCTTTAGCCTCCTTTAATGGGGAATTATTAAAGTTCTCAGTCTGACTTTGTCTCTTATGACATCAACATATTTGAAAAGTACAGGGCAATTACTTCATAAAATGTTTCTCAATTTGAGTTTGTCTTCTGTTTCCTCATGATTCCTAACTAGAATATCTCATAAGTAACGAGATGTCATAGCCACAGACAGACAGTTGTTCCCCCTCTCATTAGTGATACTACTTTTGCTCACCTGGTCAAGGCATCGACTGATTTCTTCACTGTAGAGTTACTATCTCTTCCCTTGCAACCAATGAGCAGTCAAAAGAGACACTGTAAGACCATGAAGATATCTTGCTCCTTATCAGACTTTCTGCCCTTGATTTATTGTTCAGGGTGATTTTTGCCCCAAACAATTATTTACTTCATTCTTTCTAAGGGCTGCATCCAGACCAGTTGCATGGACTTGACTGGATCATAATGACTCCATGTGTGTCAGAGAAGAGCTGTGCTCCACAAGGTTTTGGGTGGCTGACTTTTTGGAAGGAGATTGCCAGGCCTTTCTTCTGAGGTGCCTGGGTGGGCTCAAACCTCCAACCTGTCAGTTAGCAGACACACGTGTTAACCATTTCCACCACCCTGGGACTTGAACCAGCTGCATAATATTCCGCTATATGACTCTTTCATCATTTATTTAATTAGTGTTTTACTGATAATCATTTAGGTTGTTTCCAGTTTTTGCTATTAAACAGTACTTCAGGGAGCGTCATTATGCATGAGTGTTTATGGAATATGTGCACATAACTGAAGCATAAATTCCTAGACATGGAGTCACTGGGTCAAAGGACATGTACGTTTTAAAATTTAATAGGCTTTGTCAAATGGCCCTCCTGAGGGATAGTGATTTACGTACGCCCCTCCTTAGTCTGTAGCTATTGGTTAGAATTCACATCTAACTCAGAGTTTTTCCTGAAGCTTAAAAGAAGAGGAGGCAATGAAACATGAAGCCTTTATAAGGCCCCCAGGCAAACCAAATTACAATCACCCTATTAAAAGTTGTCCAGGAGTCTTGTGCTGTTGAACATTATGGGAAAAGGAAATTAGAGAAAAGCTCTTCCTATTGAGACAATTCCCCAAAGGACTGCAAGGTGAAAGCCACCATTGTGAGCCCTGCCTGGGCAGGCTGTAGATCACCACTGCACAGGCAGGAAGTCAGGCCAAGGCCCACAAACAGCCACCACTGTGTGGGGCAGCCCAGTAGGCAAAAGACACCAGGCCTGGGCCCCGTGGCATGCGTTGGGAGGGCAGAGTAGTGGGCCCCAGCATGCAGCTATCTCAGTTTGGCCGAGGATGCCCCAAGCAGAGTTGTGGCTGTGCAGAGGAATGCAGTCTCATTTGGTCTCTTCTGCAGTGACCAAGGAACTAAAGGCAGCTTTGTATGTGCCTGAGTTAGAGAAGCCTGACCCAGGCTAGGCCAGCAGGGAATTACTCAATCATAAATCAGAATGAGAACAATGAAGGCCATTCTTTATTATCAAAATCCCAAAGGTGATTTGGGGCTCTTGGGGACTAACAGGGACAGGTGAGAATCTGCCATCCAGGAGAGACAGTTCAGTGTGAGAGTAAGAATAGCTTTGGCACCCTGAAGTCTGGATTTCCAGCCCTGCCTTTGTCTTCCTTCAGCCATGTGATCTTGAGCCAGTCACTCAGTGCCTCCAAAAATCGTAGGGTTATTGTGGGGCTCAAATGAGATAATGTTCATGCAAGGAATCTTTCTCTGATTTAAAAAAAAAAAAAAAAAAATTATTATGCAGAGTTTTTACCTCTGATAATTAGCTTCAGCCCATGCATGGCAAAGTCTCTGAAATCCATTTTATTCCAGAGAAAGTGCCTGCCATTGTTTGGTCCCTGCTATGAATGTGGTCAGATCCTCCTTTATCATTGGACAGTCACCAAGGCAGAGGCCAAATAGCAGAGGCTTCTGGGGCCCTTTATTTCATGGCCTTGTACTTGGCAAGCTTCTGGCTGTTTTCCTACTCTGTCATCAATGTTGTGTGTCATAGAAGCCACCCCCGCCTGGCTGCATGCAACCTCCCTCTTTTTTGGACCCCTGTAGGCTGGCCACTGTACTGCCCAGCTGCACAGGGAGCAGTGTGACAATTCACCTGTATGAATGATGCCCCTGGGGTTGTGCAGTTGTTGAGAATAAGGCTCACAAATAGAAAGGCCTTGATTTTGTTGGGGATTTTGCTTTTGCCATTAAGGAGGGAGAAGGAGTGCCCTCTTGTGTGGGATGAATTGAAGGTGAGGTCATTAAGAGGGGGGGAGTGAATGCAAATCCAAGTCCAAGGAAAGGTAATTTGGGAGAAAAATTACACTGGTGTGGAAGAATAGCAGGTAACAGAAATGAAAATGACCTTTGAATGAGTTGTTAGAGAAGTATCAGCCCTGGAAAAGTGGTGGGTTTCATGTTGGAAAAACATTCCCTGTTACTTACAAACTTTGGGGCTGATGATCACCAAGTTCTGAGACCCATAAAGGACCTTCAGGGAAATACCCCACACCCCCGTGACAATTAGTTTCACCTCTTGCATCTTCCCCAGGTGCCTATTCCACAGTTTGGGCTTGTGGCCCCCTCCTGCTCCAGCTATAGGGTCCATTTTCTTGTCTAAAGCCAATCCAGTCACTCTACTGAGCACAGGCACGTGGCTTCCTGCTGCCCTCAGGTTGAGGCTTGACCCCCACATAGCTGGAGTAGCTGGTTTCCTCCTCTGCCCCTGTCTCACCATCATGTCTCAGCCACCCAAGCTACTTGCTCTGCCCTGCACTAGTCATGACCTCCCTCCCTGGTGCTGTTCCTCTCCTGTGGGTTCTCCCCACTTCATGGCTTCCTCAGGACTCAGGAATGATGTTTTCCCTCGACCCTGCTCATCCCTGTATCTCTCAGCTTTCAGGATCCTTCCCATCACATTGTACTGCATTTTTCTGTTGTCCCGTCTGGCTTCCTGTAACCTCCCCTATTTACTATAACCTCCCCACAGTCAGGGACTGTGTGTTTTTCACCTCAGTATTCCTGGGAGCAGCACAACTCCTGGTAACTAATTACGGAATAATCCATGAGGTGTTCTAGTCATGTCCAAGCCCCAACCTTGACATGAGCTGGTCTTAAAATTTACCTGCCCAGGACTCCATAGAAGTTCTGTCCACAGAGCCCACTTAGATATCTGAATTACTGTGTGCCATCTAGTGTCCTTTCTTGCCCAACAGGTGCTTGATGTGTCTGGAGCAGACATGTTAGCCAAGTCAATTGCCAACTGCCAGGTGGAACTTCTAGAAAACTGTGGGCATACAGTGGTGATGGAGAGACCCAGGAAGACAGCCAAACTCATTGTCGACTTTTTAGCTTCTGTGCACAACACAGACAACAACAAGAAGCTGGACTGAGCCCCTGCCTGCATTCTGCACACAGCATCCGCTCCCATGTCCAAATTCTGACACGGCCACCACTTCTCAGGGATCCTGCCCCAAATGCAGTCGGAGCGCCAGCATCCCTGAAGAAGCTAGGCTCCTATCCCCAATACCTACAGTTCCACAGAGCTTCAGGAGCCCTGAGGAAATCTTCAAGGTGTTTTTCACAAACATCATATGGAACAGAAAAAGAAAACCCAGCCATAAAAATCTACCAAGAAGTCTTCGAGTTCTGTCACAGACAAGCCTGTGCAAAGCAGCCACCTTGGACATTTTCCTATGATGTTCTTCACAGCCTGATAGCCATGGTATTTCTGTTGCTTCAGTGCTCCCCTGCATGGTCAGTGACTCTTATAGGAGCAGTAGTGCACATTCATCAAGCCCTTCTCTTTTATGTCTAATTTAAGTTTTACACAGAGACTCATACATGAATGCAGCCCATCAGCTGCAGGACCAGGGAGGAAAATGGTGAGCTGCAGGAAACATTACATGCACCTCAGCCAGCCCTTGTAGCTGCTGGAGCAACGGAGACTACAGATGGTTGGTGTGTTCAGCACCCATGTGTCCAGTATGTCACCAGTGCACCCAGAAGAGTTGCAGTCTGAGGAACACTTGGTAGGGGGAGGTTCCTGGAATAATTTATTATTTTAAAAGTAGGACTAATAAAGCAATAATGTTCTAGACATCTATCTAAATAACTAAATTGGGGTTCGCCACAGAAGCAACTTGTGGGCTCTTTTCTATTTTGCTGTGCTATTGAAAATCTTTGGATGTAAAATACTAGCTTGTTAATGAATTCTGTGAATTCTGTGAACAGTAATGTGATTAAAAGTAAGTCTAAAGAGCTGTAAAAGTGAACCACAGTGACATGAAATAAATTTACTAAGTCTAGATCAGCCGCATGCGGATGGTTTCTATTTTGAAGCTCCTAATTAAGTGCAAGGAGCCCTGGTGGCATAGTGGTTAAGGCATTCAGCTGCTAGCCAAAAGATCTGCTGTTCAGATGGGAGAAAGATGAGGCAGTCTGCTTCCCTAACGATTTACAGCCTTGGAAACCCTATGGGGTAGTTCTACTTTGTCATATGGGGTCACTATGAGTCAGACTCAACTCAATGGCAGTGGGTTGGATTTTGTTTTGGAATTAAGTGCAATGGTGGCAGATTTGCTGTTAACTTTAAAAGGTGGTTTTTAAAGTAAGGCTAGATCTATAGGTAGGGGAAGATTTTTAATCAATTGAAAAATGCATATCGAAAATAAGCAAGAGCCATCAACCTGTTCCTTATGATCCTATTCTGCTGCATTTAATTACTATTTCTGTCCTAAACACCATATGAACTTAATTCTTTCAAATCCTGTTACGGAGAGGCTGTAACCAACTATTTCTGGAAATAAAGTAAGAACTTTATCATTTAACCTGGAATTCTAGGCTTAATACAAAAAATTTATCAGAGAAGAGTAGAACATATATCTTAAAAAAACAAGAAGATGTGAAAATATATCACACTTGTGTGATGCAGCTAAGGCAGTGCTCAGAGGGAAATTTATAGGCTTAAGTGCATAGATTGGTAAAGAAGAAAGGCTTAAAGTCAGTAATTTAGGTTTTCATCTCAAGAAACTAGAAAAGTAGTAAATCACATCTAAAGACAATAGAAGGACCTTGGGGATCAACTTTCAGCCAGAAACAGGCCTATAAAGTGAAAAATAACACCAGCGAGGAATGTACTCCTCATTACAATCAACCATATAAGACCTAAAGGGCAGCATTTGCCCAAAAACAAAGCTCAGAAGGCAGAAAGGGGTAGGAAAGAAGAATGACTGGAAATGGGGAACCAAGGAAGGAACTGGGATTGCAACCTATGTCATGAAGCAAAATGTGTATAAATTGTTGAATGGAAAACTAATTTGCTCTGTAAACTTTCACCCAGACTGCAATGTTGTTGTTGTTACATGCCGTGGACTTGGACCCAATTCATAGCAACCCCTCCTTGGGTTTCTGAGGCAGTATCACTACGGAAGTAGATTGCCCAACCTTCCTTCCAAGGAGTGGCTGGTGGTTCAAACCACCAAGCTCTGGTTAGCAGTCAAGTGCTACCAGAGCTCCCCCAAACTACAATAAAAAGTAAAAATAAAAAAGACTGAAAGGGGCAATAAAATTTGATGCCAATGCAAATAAAACATGCAGTGTTACTTAGTAGTGATGGATCAATAAATTGCTTTAAAATTTTGGGGAAAAAAGAGAAACTGAATGTGAGATACTGTAACATAATGGCTAAGTTAGTGGGGTTTGGAATCACGTATAACTTGGTTCAGTCTGGAGTGCGACATTTACTAGTCTTGTATCCTTAACAATTGCTTAATCTTTATTATTTTAATCTTTTCATCTATGGGAATTAAAGGGTACTTTGCTAACTTAAAGGAGCTCTGGTGGTTAAAACATTTAGCTGATAACCAAAAGGTCATTGGTTCAAACCCACCAGCCAGTTGGTGGGAGAAGGATGTGGCAGTTTGCTTCCATAAAGATTCATAGCCTTGGACCCCTGTGGCCAGTTCTACTCTGTCCTATAGGTGTCGCTATGAGTCAGAATCAACTCCATGGCAATGGGTTGTTGTTTTGGTTTTTTTTTTTTTTTTTGAGTATTTCACTTGGATGATGTGAAAATTAAATGAAAATTTGATACAAACACACAAAAAAAATAGATAAGTAGAAATCAATGAAATAGAAAGTAGATAGTAGATTTGTTCCAATCTCCTATATTCACAAGAATTCTGAACTTAGTGAGATTCTGGTACAAGAGGCCCGCCTTGGTGAGTTTGAGTGATGAGAGTTGATTTTATCTGGGCCTCTGAAGAAGCCACAGGCTGGGATAAGTACCCCAGATCAGAAATCCTGCTAGGGAAAGGAGTTATTATGACATAGGTTGAGTAACAACCAAGGGGAACATCAAAAGAAGGCCTTCGCCTGTCCCTACAGAGGGGACATTCAGGCAGGTATGCTGTCTGTCCCAGCTCTGGAAGAACCATGAGCAGGTCTGCAGCAGGCCTCCCACCTCCTCCACTGTCACCAGAGAGCACTGACTGGAAGTCAGGGGGCAGAGAATATGGAAAAGTCATATTTGGTAAGTTTTTAAAGTGGGTTTTCAAAGGTCTTCCTTGCCTCTGCAATTCCAGCCCCACTGTGTCAGGAAGACTTATACAGAAAAGCACAGCTCTCCCTTTCCCCCCATTTCTTGCCTTTGTGATTATGTTGGTTACTGCTGGCTAGTTGCCCACCCCCTGCCTCCCCTACACACATATCCCACACCCTGTTGGGCCCTGTGGTATGTGCCTTTAAAGATAGCCTTAGACTTCATCCCTCCCTGAAGACTGTCGGGAGCTTCCAAAATAATAGTGGAAAGCCCCAGGAATCACAACTGGGTTCTTGATCACTCTACCTGGAGTTGGGGCCTCCTAGGAGATGGGCCCACTTGGGCAGGTATTGAAGAGACCAAGGGATAAGCTGTGGTTAGATCAATTTGCCATCAGTGTGGGCTTGTCCAGAACAGAAGTGATGCTAGGAGTGGCAGCTTAGCTACCCCTGTTCAGCAGTGATGCTTGTGCATGTAAATCTGGGCCTTCTGCTTAAGCCCTAGTGAGTATTCCCTATCCCAGGGAAACTTCCAAGTTGCTCTGTCTAGAGGAAGTTCCCAGAAAATTCTGGGATTGCAATGCATGTCAGGCCAGGCTGGAGAACTGAATCACACAGCTATGTGCCAGTGCTATTGTAAGTCTTTCCATGCCTCACCTCACCAAGCTTTCTCACAGCCCTAGGAGGTAAGTGCAATCCTGTGCCCATTTTATGACCAAGAAAACTGAGGCATGGAGAGGTGAAGTATCTTGCCCAGGGTCACACAGCTGGCAAGTAGAGAGAAGGTTCTCTGTTTATAATTGAAGGTGGCATACAAAAACAATACTTTCGCCAGTTCAGGTCAGCACTCTCTTGCCCATCTTACCAGTGGAGCCTGAAGCACTGCTGACAAGGCACACAGTCCTCCAGGATCACCAGGACCAGGCCACACATCACCAAGGCCATGCCTCTTGGTGGGGCTCTGGCATGTGCTGGGAAAGGCAACCCAGTTGTTCATTCTGCAAATACTTGAGGACCTCCCATGCCTAGGCAGGAAATGGAGCTTACCTGGATTCCAGGATCATACTGGTAAGGGGACTTAAAGGGAGCCTGCCCTTTTCTTTCAAGCCTTTCTTATCACCATTATTGGTATGGTTTGTTCCGCCCCCCCACTGGTACCCTAGAACCTTACTCCATGCTCTGGAAATTATAATCAGTGCTATTTGTCTAAAGCAGTTTCCCTAGGAAGAAGTCTCAGTGGGTTCTCTCATGCCCCTCAGGGGGTCAGGCCTGAAAGTACAGTTGGAGAGATGTGACCTTTGAAGAGGAAGGTCAACACCCTGGATTTCATACCAATGGAGTGCTTTTCCACAGCCTCCAGGCAAATTGGAGGCTTACTTAAACATAAATGCTGAACTTAGACCACCTTGTTTGCTTTTCAAACCCTGGACATTGATCTTGACTTAATAACATCTTTCTAAAATGATGAATGGGGATTTTAACAGGTAACTGCTGTGCTTTGGGGGACTTCCTTGCTTTGGGCTGATAAGCCTTTTATTAAAAACGGCAATTCAGTGGGTTTGTGTCAGAACTGAATGTGCTGAACTATACTTTGGTAAGATTTGGGAACATATTTTTTAACTCTCGGTCTCTCCATCTTTGTTTCTCTCTGTCTCTGTTCTAATAGGCATACTTCTCCCAACAACGGGAAGCCTTTTATCTCTTGTAGTGCCACTCCTTTGACCCCACAGCCTGGATTTCTCCGTCAGCATCCCCTCCACCCCATTTGGATGCTACTTTCAAAACCCTTCAATTCCCTTTAATGAGGCAAATAAAAAATATATATATAGACACGTGGTTTGTTTTTGTTTTT